GGATCAAGACTGGGATTTGTCACTCCGTATGACGGAGAGGTATCTCTGGGCCCACTCGGTAATGCATCATCATATTGAGCTCAATGTGACCAAGGTGTTGGACACGGGATCATGCATTACGGTACGAGTAAAGTGACTTGCCGGTAACAAGACTGAACAAGGTATTGGGATACCGACGATCGAGTCTCGGGCAAGTAACGTACCGATTGACAAAGGGATTGCATACAGGGTTTGATCGAATCCTCGACATAGTGGTTCATCCGATGACAACATCGAGGAGCATGTGGGAGCCATCATGGGTATCCAGATCCCACTGATGGTTATTGACTGAGAGAGTCTCGGTCATGTCTGCATGTCTCCCGAACCCGTAGGGTCTACACACTTAAGGTTCAGTTACGCTAGGGTTATAGGGATATGTATATGCAGTAACCCGAATGTTGTTCGGAGTCCCGGATGAGATCCCGGACGTCACGAGGAGTTCCGGAATGGTCCGGAGGTAAAGATTTATATATGGGAAGTCCTGTTTCGGGCATCGGGACAAGTTTCGGGGTTATCGGTATTGTACCGGGACCACCGGAAGGGTCCCGGGGGTCCACCGGGTGGGTCCACCTGTCCCGGGGGGCCACATGGGCTGTGGGGGGTTCGCCTTGGCCTAATGGGCCAAGGGCACCAGCCCCACATAGGCCCATGCGCCTAGGGTTTAAGGGGGCAAGAGTCCTAGGAGGGTAAGGCACCTCCTAGGTGCCTTGGGGGGAGGGAAAACCCCCCTTGGCCGCCGCACCCCCTAGGAGATTGGATCTCCTAGGGCCGGCCACCCCCCTTTGGCACCCCTATATATAGTGGGGGAGAGGAGGGACTTCATACCTGAACGCCCTGGCCTTTGGTTGCCTCCTTCTCCCTCCCCAACACCTCCTACACCTCCATAGTGCTTAGCGAAGCTCTGCCGGAGTACTGCAGCTCCATCAACACCACGCCGTCGTGCTGCTGCTGGTGCCATCTCCCTCAACCTCTCCTCCCTTCCTTGCTGGATCAAGAAGGAGGAGACGTGGCTGTTCCGTACGTGTGTTGAACGCGGAGGTGCCGTCCGTTTGGCGCTGGTCATCGGTGATTTGGATCACGTCGAGTACGACTACATCATCACCTTGCAAGCTTCCGCACGCGATCTACAAGTGGTATGTAGATGCAAACTCTCTCCCTAGACTCGTTGCTTAGATGAACTCATAGATGGATCTTGGTGAAACCGTAGGAAAAAATTTAATTTTCTGCAACGTTCCCCAACAATGTCTCCATCGTAACTATTTTTCCAAACTCTTTTGCCCTTGCTTTGGACTCTAACTTGCATGATTTGAATAGGAACTAACCCGGACTGATGTTGTTTTCAGCAGAATTGCCATGGTGTTATTTTTGTGCAGAAATAAAAGTTCTTGGAATGACCTGAAACTTCACGTAGATGATTTTTGGAATTAATAAAAAATATTGGCGGAAGAATCAAGTGAAGGGGAACCACACCCTGGCCACAAGGGTGGGGGCGCACCCACCCCCTGGGGCGCGCCACCCGTCCTTGCGGGCCCCCTGGACCTCCACCGACCTCAACTCCAACTCCATATATTCACTTTCGGTGGCAAAAAAAATCAGAGAGAAGGATTCATCATGTTTTACAATACGGAGCCGCCGCCAAGCCCTGTTCTTCCTCGGAAGGGTAGGTCTAGAGTCCGTTTGGGGCTCCGGAGAGGAAAATCCGTCGCCATCGTCATCATCAACCATCCTCCATCACTAATTTCATGATGCTTACCGCCGTGCGTGAGTAATCCCATCGTAGGCTTGCTGGACCGTGATGGGTTGGATGAGATTTACCATGTAATCGACTTAGTTTTGTTAAGGTTTGATCCCTAGTATTCACTATGTTCTAAGACTGATGTTGCTATGACTTTGCTATGCTTAATGCTTGTCATTAGGGCCCGAGTGCCATGATTTCAGATCTGGACCTATTATGTTTTCATGAATATATTTGTGTTCTTGATCCTATCTTGCAAGTCAACATTCACCTAGTACGTGTTATGATCCGGCAACCCCGGAGTGACAATAGTCGGGACCACTCTCGGTGATGACCGTAGTTTGAGGAGTTCATGTATTCACTAAGTGCTAATGCTTTGGTCCGCTATTCTATTAAAAGGAGGCATTAATATTCCTTAGTTTTCAATAGGACCCCGCTGCCATGGGAGGGTAGGACAAAAGATGCCATGCAAGTTCTTTTTCATAAGCACGTATGACCTATATCCGGAATACATGCCTACATTATATTGATAAATTGGAGCTAGTTCTGTGTCATCCTATGTTATAACCGTTACATGATGAATGCCATCCGACATAATTATCCATCATTGATCCATTGCCTACGAGCTTTTCACATATTGATCTTTGCTTCGTTATTTTTTCGTTGCCACTGTTACGATTGCTACAAAACTGCTACTGTTACTTTTATCACCGTTACTGTTACTTTCATACTATTTTGCTACTAAATATTTTGCTGCAGATATTAAGTCTTTCAGGTGTGGTTGAATTGACAACTCAACTGCTAATACTTGAGAATATTATTTGACTCCCCTTGTGTCGAATCAATAAATTTGGGTTGAATACTCTACCCTCGAAAACTGTTGCGATCCCTTATACTTATGGGTTATCATTGTGTTCTGGTGCTGCATCCAGTCGGCGTTGGATGTTCGGTGGGCCCCTGATTTTTTTTGTGGAAGTATAGAATTTGGCCGATAACCTCTCTGGGCAAGTTAGACGTCTCTTTTAGTTTGGGTTATCGACCGTTTGGCCATCAGGAATGCATTTACAATTGAGCATATTTTCCCTAAACCTGTTGAACTTGATCTATCTTCAAACTTGTCTCTTTGTTACAGTTGTGGAAATCATTGACTAAGGATTGCGAGATGGAGGCCACCAAGCTGCTAATCTCTTTTGTAAGGGCCATCGCTATCTCCATCTGCCACACGGATTAGGTTGCGGTGTCCTAGGGATGCATTGGTGCTCTCCCGGTCAAAGCTCTATTCTATTTTGCTCGTAGGTAGTGGCATGCGTGTCTTTATGATGTGTTATTGCTGTTGTGTCAGCCCTTAAACTGATTCTTGTCTTGTACTTGGCCCATGGGGGTTGTTTGACGGTTTGTATGAACTCGTGTTTGGTGTGGTACGACTTTATCTATAAAGTTAGGCATAAGCTTTCACCTAAAAAAACTTTCACTACTAAAGCACAACTCTCGTATAAGAGAGTTCACGACGATATCCAACTACATGATCTACCTGCTTCCCGTCTATCCTAAGATGTTAATGCCCGCAATGACCGAGAATCTTCTCACATGGGTGACCATGAACAAGCTCATCTTGAATGACAGCAAGTTGTCGCTCGACAATGAAGAAGTGCTTAGAAGAAAGATTATAGATATGGTGCAGTCATCAACCATAACCAAAAATCAGCAACATCAAACACTCATGGGGCGACTCGGGCAAACCATATGGGTTTGGCTTCATCATTACTCCAATGCCCCTCCCCCACTAAAGCCCAAGGACAAGACATCAACCCAAAGATAAGTGCCAGGGCCTACGAAGAAGATCACCGTACACTACATATTAGGAAAACACTCTACGACACATGGCAAATGACAAAATGTGTTGTAAACTAATACCACGCCTGGCTTCTATCCTGGTATGCCATCATGCTGACTTGGAGTCTTCCATAACCTGAGCTATGTAAATGCACCAAGGCACCGTTGAGTAGCATCCACTCCTCTAGATTAGCCTACATCACGGAGAAGTTTTTTGGCTCTTCTCGCCAGAATCACCACCATAATCATCCGAACTCGTTGAGTACCCCTCAACATTGTAATCCTCTATATTCTCCATACATATAAAAGAAGAATCAATGCATGAAGTAGGGCTTTTATCCATGTTGGAGGCCTGAGCCTAGATATATAATGTGTCCCTGTTTTATGTATTCTATATAATCTATACCCGCTGGTATCCTGACATGATGTTCCCTCGACTACAAATTCCATGTAATCCCTCTAGTATAACTGTTAGGATCCATGTAGAATCCCTCGTCACTTATCGTGCTTGAGAGTTGCAACGTCTAGACAATGTTGTTTTGACCAGCTGTGATATTGTATTTGCATACCTTTACCTTCAAGAAACAAATCGATTCCAGTTTTCCCACTCCAATTTCATTACCGGTGTTCCATGGCTATGTTGCGGTTTGTGTTACCCATTTTTCTAATCAAACACCTTGCTAGATTGTTATGATATGAAAACAATGCACGGTTACATGTTTCTGATGAAAGAAGCCACATTTCGTATGTCGTAGCGTATTAATTAACACCAATGTAAATTCATGGGGTTTTATTTTAAAAACCATGGAAAAAAGTTTGCCTCGTCTTATTAATTAAGAAGGTATAGAGTTGCTCGGTTAATTAGCCAATAAAAGGGCGAAAACATTACAACAGTCCATAGAGGGCAACTCGGCAGACATCGTACCCATATGAATACACACAGGTTGTTGAGGTTGTCCTCAAACGTCATCATCATCACTCCTCCAGAAGCCAGCGACTTTGACCATCAATGAATCCATGTTGGCCCATTGCCAAACAGTCGACCACCTGCGCAAACCAGTAGACAACCCCCAATCAGTCGACGAACCTTGTAGGAGAAAGGCACCAATCAATCCTTCACTGACCATGCCCTTGCAACCGAACATCTGTCTCGTGCCAAGGGACCTCTTTTATATCTCCAACTTCACAAAAACACTGACTACCAAAACCCAACAGGAAACTAACTCCGCTCGGAGCCGAACAAGAAGCCACACCAGGGTCACCGTCTCAGCATCCCCCGCGGCAAGCTCTGGAAAGGCCACGACCCAAGATGCGCCGCCATTGCCCGTTCCGGGAGACCCTGGAACAAGGGGTTTGAGTTGTGCGCTCAGCTGTCTCTCATCATCCTTGTCGCTCATACCATTGGGGCCGGCAATGGCGCCAAGACGATGCACCGGCAGACCGGGCACGTGGAGTGCTCGTGCAGCCACGGGTCGATGCACTGCTGGTGGAACATGTGCAGGCACGCCGGCAGCCGCTTCACCGTCTCCCCCTTCTCCACCTCCCCGAGGCAGACCGCACACTCCGACGGGCCGCCGCCTAGCTCCGGCTGCTCGTACGCCAGGATGTCATGCGCCGTCGCCGACCGCGCGCCGCCATTCGCCGGCGGCTCCCTGGCCAGCGCGGGCATGTGACTCTGCTGTATTTGGTCCAGAAACTGCGGCAGAGGGCTGCTGCCGCTTCGGCGCCGTAGCCTGGACCGGAACGGCAGGCAAAGAAGCCGGCCCATACGGCGGAGGTGGCGCAGCAGCGCTCCGCGGGCGGAGGCCAGGCACCGGCGCAGCGCCGACCACGGGGAGAGGGCGCCGTAGAAGGCCGTGTAGACGCTGGCGCCGACGCCGACCCAGAAGAGGAGGAAGACGGTGAGCACGATGATGGAGCCCCTGCTGCGGTCGGGCTTCCGCGCCAGGTTGACGAGCGCGTAGAGGATCATGGCCGTGCCGCCGATGCAGACGGCGTTGACGATGGCCAGTCCGTACGCGCGGGAGAAGCAGTCCATGGCCATGTCCGTGAGCTTGAACTAGCTACCTAGCTGAGCCACAGCCTGCTACGCTTGTTCAATCAGTGGCAATTCACTGGCCTGGGCACGCAATTTCGATGTGTCGCGGGGATGCCTCGAAAGTCTTTGCCCGAGAATTTCGTTGCGTACGGACGAAGCAAGCCACGAGCCAATGAGCAAACCATCCGATGAAGTTGATGTCCTGTAGTACGATTGGTTTGGCGTATTTTGAATTTTTGATATGGCGTCTCGTGTATGTGGGTATGTAAATATGTGTGCATATCTTAATATGGTCGGCAGCGTTTGTAGGGCGACCTTAAACATTTAGAATGATGCAGGGATTGCGATCGACTTTTCTTTTAGGAAAACGTTTGGGCTCGGCGCGCCGGCGGAACACTCGGCCGGCGCCTTGTCGCGTATTCCTCTCTTTTTTTTCTTTTTTTTTTGAAAAAAAAAAGCATCGCAGCTTCGTTCATGGCGACTGCGGCCTTCGTCCACCCCCTCGCCGAGCGTTTCCGATCAGATCCGGGCTCTTCCTCCAAGCCGGCGTGCCTCTCCCGTTGGATCTCATCTGCAGCAATCATGGAGTCGCCGCCTCGCCGGCCTCCCCTTCCCGTCAGGATGGGGCAGATCCCCTACCCATTCATCACATGTTTTCTCCTCTGGCGAGCTGGCCGCCGTCTCCCACGCCACCTCCTCCACAAACCTCTTTCCCCCGCTCCGCCGCATCCGATGCCAAAGCTACGACCAAAGACAACAATGTTGCAATCGGCGACGATAAAAGTTACGACCGGCAACAAGAAAAGCTACGAGCGGAGAATGACGATGTTGCAACCGGCAACGAGAAAAGCTACGACTAGAGATGACCGATGTTGCAACCGGCGACGAGAAAAGCTACAACCAGCGACGAGAAAAGCTACGACCAGAGACGATGAAAGTGGGTCGGCCGATGCGCAACACTGAAAGCTACAGCCGACGATCGATAATGTTACAACCGGCATTGTCGAAAGCTTCAAGCGGAGACGATGGGAATCGAGGGTCACGCAACCGCGGAAGCTACAACCGGCGATGGAAAAAGCTTCAACCGGCTAGAAAACAAGCTTCGGCCGGCGATATAGAAAGCTTCAACCGGCGACAGCAAAACGCAAAAAGTTATAATCATTAACACAAAAGCTCCAACCATATATTTCAAAAGCTTCAACTAGAGACCAGCGACGAAAAGGTTGTAATGGCAAGCCATTGATGCACATGACGTTTTTCTATGCACCAATGATGTTGCGACGGATGCTGGAATCGGAGCCCCCGCCATTGCTAGAACCGGCGGCCGCCATTTCTTTGGTGCATCCGAGAGCCTTTTTTTTCTGCCACGGCAACGGTGAGCGGCGGTGCTTCGAGTTTGGGCACGGGCAGATCTGGTGGTGCTTCAAGCCAGTGGTGTTCTTTTTCTTCTCTTTTTTGCTGGACACGAGGCGGATCTGGTTCATTGGAGTCGCCAGATCGGATGGCTGCCAGACATGTCTGGCCGAAAGTTGCGCCGGCGCGCCGGCCCTATCACTGGCCTTTCTTTTGTTTCTTTTTTTGCCGGAAATCTGCGATCGATTTAAATATTAGTTAGTGCATCCTTTTCTTATTTGAATTTTGAGTTTGGTAACCACATATTTTAAATATTGGTCAGTGTTGTTGTTTGCACTGGCGGAGGACCCTAGTGGGCAAGGTCTGGCCGCCGCCATACCTTGAATCGCTACAGAAATTCTTTTATACGTACGCTACTAAGCAAGTCACAGCCATCGCGGGAAAAATCATTAGCACACAAACGCAGTTGGGCCACGATGTTGGTTGTCGTTCGCTAGACTGGATAATGGGCCACGCCCCACGCAGACACAGCTGGGCCAAGTCGGCAAGATCCGAAACGCACGCCGCACACGTACGGGACACGCAAAGCCCTCACACTCGAGAGCAAGCATGAACGCACATGCATCAAACATGGGGTTCTGCCATGGTTTGTAGTCTCGTAGCTCCACCTTGGTACTGATTTCTGTCATGGTTTGTAGTCTTGTAGCTCCACCATGATTAACCTTTCGACCTAGTCGACATCTCTAATAGCTGAGACATCCTCCCTCGACTGCTATAACGCTTTGCTACTCCGCTGTATCCTGTAAGGCAGCTCATGTAGAGATTTTCCTTTTTTTTATCCGTTTTAGTTCCGTCTTTTTCATTGGTTTTATTTCTTTTCTCACGTATTACCTTTTTTCCATTGTGTTTGTTTTCTGTTTTTGGTGGAAATGCACGAACATTTATTAAAAGTGTATTAACATAAATGTAGGCATTTTCTGCAAAAAAAACATAAATATAGGCATGTACGAACATATTATTCGAAAAATGCAAAGCTTTTATTAAATTGTTGGGCACTGTCATTGCCTTGGTCTTCTAGATGCTATTGAAAGCTTCATTATCAATATGTATTAGATTGTTTTGTTTCTGTGATCAATATGTATTAGATTGTTGTTCTATTTAAATATGTTTATATTTTCATTGTATTTGGTTATTATTCTATTAGGGATCACATGAAAATATTAACGTGTATTGACTATTATGGTTTCGCATTAAAAAAATCTTAAGAGTTCGCCACACCTTAAAAAAAATTCGTCCTCCACCTCTGGTTGTTTGTGTGATGATCGCTGCTGGGAATTTTTTTTTAAAATTGTGGGGTGCTGGGCAGGTGACGATGATTTGGTCTCTCTGACATCATCTGTGCTCTCTTTTTTAGGATCCAAATGTAGAATAGATAAATATTTATGTGTTTGGTTTGAGGTTCACGAACACCAACCATGGCTCCCCTTTGTACATAATTTTTAGCAACAAATTCCTGATACTATTTCCTGAGATACGACGAATTCTGGAACAAACTTGGACGAGCTGGGATGTGCCATTAGAGTGCAACGAGCCCGAGCGGCACGTCCACGGCATGGCTTCAGGTTCCGACCAATTCCTGAGATGCGAGGTATGTCCTGATAGATACGTATATACTCCCTTCATTTCTAAATATAAGTCTTTTTAGATATTTCATTATAGACTATATAAAGAGCAAAATGAATGAATGAACACTTTAAAATATGTCTATATACATCCGTATGTAGTTTGTAGTGGAATCTATAAAAAAAACTTAGGCCTTCTTTGATTCATAAGATAGAAATTTTATAGAAATAAGAAAATCATAGGAAGTGAGAAGACATGTATGTCAATTCCTATAGAGAAAGAGATATCATTTAAAGCATAGGATAGGATTTTTTTTCATTGAGTCTAGGTTAATTTTTTTCCTTCAAAATGTGAAGGGTTGATTCCTATCTTATATATAGAAATAGAAATCCATTCCTACAAGTTAAAGGGCTTCAAAGGAATTTTTTCTTTGCAAATCCTATCCTATAGAATTCCTATAAAAATCCTACAAACCAAAAAAAGCCTTATATTTAGGAACGGAGAGAGTGCTATTTTTGAGAGAAATGTCCTTTTTGTATATATATCCCGGGCACGGTTTCGAAGCCCTCTTGATCGAGTTCAGGCGAGGCCCGGATGCTCCGACGTCGAACCAAACTGCAAGGCTCGTGCGCCGACACATAACGATAACTGCTTCTACGTCGCATATTATAGGCGGGCATGAATGCAGACACATGAAAATTCATCTTCCAGAGGTTTTCATCCCGCTACAGGTGCGGTTGTACATGTTATAGGCGGGCATTGCATATTGTGTAGCCGGCTGTTTGAGTACAGCGCACATTGCATTTTGTGTAGCCGGCTGTTTGAGTACAGCATCAGGAAATCCTAAATCCAAGCAGAAAAACGGAGCATGCACATGCATATAAACTAGTACTATTAATCACAGGAATACCGAGAGACTACCGATAACCAAGATACCAAATGTCTGGAAACTGCACATGCATTGGAAAATAAGGCCGTCCAGAGCGGCGGCAGCTAGCAGATTACCATGTAAGCTCAAACTTGTGATGTACTAGTAAATTATTTATCTGAAGCTACAACTGCGGTTCTACATGTTATAGGCAATTTGACCTTGAGCTATACCCAATCAGAAAAATGGAGCATGCACATTCATAAAACTAGCAAACTAACACGATGACAAGCGTAATTAAACATAGACATCAATCATAGGAGCACCGAGAAACTACCAAGAACCGAGATACCAAATGTCTAGAAACTGTACATGCATTGAAACATAAGGCCGTCCAGAATGTAACAAGACCAGCAGCAGCAACTAGCAGATTACCAAGTCGCAAAACAGTGCCAACTTTCACCCATCGACAGCACTAGGCAGAAGCATAACAGGGTTCAAACATAAAAACAAGTTTCCACTTGATAGTTCTACGGTAGCTAGTTTATGGTTTATGCTGCAAAGCAAAGATCCTTCACCAGCCCCCACCGCCAGACCCCCACCCACCTCCGGAGTCCTGAGCTGGGACGGCCTTCTTGGCGCTGCCCCATCCTGAGTCGTCACCAGCAGCACCAGGTGTAGTGGCTGCTCCCCAGCCTCCGGCGCCACCGTCAGTAGTGGCAGCAGCAGCAGCAGCAGGTGTACCCCAGCCTCCAGTGCCACCGTCAGTGGCAGCAGGTGCGCCCCAGCCTCCATCCCCACTGCCGCCACGGTTGCTGTCGCCCCCACCACCCCATCCAGCATCCCCGCCTCCAGATCCTCCGCCACGGTTGCTGTCGCCCCCACCACCCCATCCAGCATCCCCGCCTCCAGATCCTCCGCCAGTGCCCCACGCACCTCCCCCACTGCCTATGTTATCAGTCCATCCTCCACCACCGCCACCATCACCATCACTGCCAAAGTTACCTCGACCCCGACCCCGACCACGCCCACGGCCGCCAGAACTGTTCCTTGAATCAAACCTGCCTCCTGCTTAGGAGAAGAAATGACAAATTAAGATTGATAGCATACAGGTTACATCAGATTATTTTCCACTGAGAACAGGTTACATCAGATTATTTTC